AGAAGAACATGATGAGAGTGAAAGGAATTTATATGAGAAGAAACTATAATATTTCTCGAGAAATAATTCACTTAGGAAAGCTCCGTCTATATCTAACCAAATAAAGAGTATAAAGAGATTATAAGAAGAAGAATCCACGAATATCACAAAATATAATATAATCAAACAAAACGCGCTGATATTTGATGTTTTATAAAGTCAAGAAATTTCTTTTATTTTTATTGTCGTCCAGATGTTTTTGATCTATAGGATAATTTATTATAACGCTTACTCCGTTTTCAAAAGCTTTACGCGCTGCGTCCATCAAAACACATCGATAAATAGTGTCTGCTGAAGATTATCGGCAGAAACGTTAACATGGATAACATGCAACTGCAGACGCAATATATATCGAATTTTATTATTATTTTCAAGTAAATGTTATTTGTTTAACGGTTATTTATAGCGAAAATATGATTGCGTGATATTTGCATATTATTGGCGAATGTGTTTTTGAAATGCTGATCTGTTTTCTCGCTCCTTTTGACACGCTTTGAAATTGACGATGTTTAATATCATGACGTTTTCAAGCGTTTATTATTTATTTATCACTGAAGAAGATCCGGAACGGAACCTCTTCTGGATAATAACAAGAATAAAGTAAATTTTTTTAAAAAAATTAGAACGAAAACATTTGTACATTTTGAGTCTCTTTATATAACATTAAAAATATGCTCGGACAACAGCGCTGGCTCTTACTTGCCTATCAATTTATGGCGATAATTTTCTTGACTTTGTGAGGAATCTAACATCCGCATGTTTTATTTCATTTTATTACAAGCTACAAGACCGTGTATAGCTCTTAAAGACCCTTTATATCTCTCTCCGTATAGAAACACCATCGCCGCCCGCATTCTGTGTTAAAGTAGCGGATCAAGTTTCAATCTTCTGATACAATCAGGTTATCGCGATAAACGTATCATTTAGAGTTAATAGCGAATTTCCGCGATTCGCCATCCGTGTAAATCGCTACTATTGCGTCTGCGGGCGAATAGGGTGAGAATCTCGACGGGTCCGGGTGTTAAAAACGAGTGACATCGACGTCGACCATAGTGCGAGAGCGAAAAACGAAAAGAGTGGAACGCGCTAGATACAGCGAGAGAGAGAGAGAGAGAGAGAGAGAGAGAGAGAGAGAGAGAGAGAGAGAGAGAGAGAAGGGGGAGGAAAGAGAAAGAGGGAGAGGGAGAGCGGCAGATGGGGTTGGGAAGTTTTAATGGCGGAGGTAAAACACCACCGCGTCGCGGCGCTGCGAAATATAATGGATGACCGGCGGGAGTAGAACGCGCATCAGGTCGCGGTAAAGCGAAGCTGCGATCGCAGATCGCTAATGATAAAAAGTTCAGTTGCGCAAGTGTAGCCTCCCTCTCGCTCTTATCCCTCCACGCGGTCTAGGGATTTCTCCGCAAAATTCGTTCGTCCATCGTGTCGAATATATCTAACGCGTTTGAGCTCCATTTTATCCGATTTCATCGGTGCGATTTCGCATTTCACATTTTTCACGCGCGAATAACGCGATAAAGTTTGCCTTGTTGACTAGGCAACCCTGTTGACTAGTTTGCCTAGGCGTTGACTATCGTACGAGAAAAATCCGATGTTTCTGTTGTGAAATACCTTTTACGTTGTTTCTCTCTTGAAAATTGCTATTGGTACTCTTTAAATTTCTTGGGGTAAAATGACACTCGGAGCAAGCGAAATTTAATTTGAAGAAATAACGAAAATACTATTAATATTCAGGATCCTAAGAATATATCACTTAAGCTTGAAGTGGATTTAACTTTATACGAGTGAACTTTTGTTTCTAAGACGGTAAAATACGTACGTCGCAGATTCATCTCTCGGCTCAAAATATTCAGTCAATGACGAATAGTGGAAGATTTTAGTCTAAGTGAATGAAAAGTTATTTAAATTCGAGTGACTCGGCTATTTTCGTTCTATTTTCTAAGGCAAATTTCCAAGATGTTTAGAGAATGAAGTGAATTTGTTAAATCTGTGTAATTATGTTTTAAATTCTTCAAGACTAAACTGTCATGTCACTAAATAACACTTCATTTTCAATAAAATGTAAACACATTAAAATTCATAATTAAAGTTCATAAATTAGAAAAATATAACATAATTATATGACTTCAAATGTTCAAGCATTTTAACAAAATTTAACTTTATATATACACACATAACTTGAGAGATATTTTATCAATTTATTTTCATGATGAGGTCACTTGGTCATTAATTGAGACAATCATTTTATATCAGGTACTTTCAAATTTTTAGTGAAAATATTCCTTTAGCAACTCAAGATAGAGAATTCACTATGTATAAGAGATCGCCCAAATTCAAGTGACTCGGCTATTATTCTACTTTTTGAGCGAAATTTCGTACCAAGAAATTTAGAAAATATGACTCTCTTCTTTTTCTCTCTTTCGTGACCGAGATCGTAAACGAGACGGAATATATGTCGCGATCGTCGAACCGTTGCGCGATAAGTGCGATTTGGTTACGATTAAATTAAACTTCCATATATTTATATTGACAATTCGATATTTACTCGCTGCTCGCGAGATAAAAATTGTGCAGCTGTTCAATATTGAAAATCGAAACGCGGTAAAACGAGATAACGTTTAGAGAAATCTTCGTTAGCGAAATCGTCAGCTTCAAGTCGTTTGAAAAATCGCGGCCGAGAGCGAAAGAGAATGTTCCGCGCGAAACAGCCTATATATACACCATGATTTCGTTGGAAATTGGAACTTCAGACGTCCTTTGAGCGCGATAAGTAAGTTGGCCTCTCTGAGGGTCTTTCGATACACGCGAACCTCGTATTTATCGCTAACCCGTTCGACCTGGAGTTTATCGACACGATTTCGCACCGAGCTTCCAATGATGCGCGTATCGCTCTCTGCGGTTTTAGCTGAGACGAGGCCGAGGGTGAAGCGGGGACAGATTAGGAGGTTAAATTAGTTCAATCAGGAGACCCGGCGGCGCAACGATGTGTAATTATGCGCCGGTGCAATTACGCGTTCGCGGATTCTACACACCCGCTCTCCTGTTCCCGGATCATCGATATAGCGAAGCAATTGTATAGCGGCTACTGTTGCTAACAGTGAAGCCGAGTATCCATCACTCATTTTTGTCGCGAGACAATGCTAGGTAATCCCGCTGGATAATATGCGCTTGCTGTCTGCATCGGTGTGCGATTCTGAAAGTGGAACAAATAATGGAAAGTATTTTTTTTCCTATTTCTCTCGCGATTGTATCAATGTTTTCGTGCACCTGCGCAGGGTGCACAGCGACAATTTTCAGCTTACTCCTTCATCGAGTATGTTCGATAAACTTTTCACGTGCTCTTCGCTGTAGAGCAATTGAATATGATGATGAGTTGATCTCCTTAAACTTTCATTAATGTCAATCATCAATCTATTCTTTACACATATGTTTTATATTATTTTCTTCATTGTTTTGTTTTACCGTATAAAATTTATTCACTCGAAATGGCTGAAAAGTCAACTACTAGCTTTTTTAGGATTCTAATATAATCGGTAAAAAAAAAGTTGGATATGTATCATCTGTAGAAAAATTATAAATTTTCTAACACTAGAACTGTTAATGATTAACGCGATCTACTTCTATCAGAGCGAATAAAAAGATTAAAATTCGTAAAAGTACCTTATGCAAGATGGAAAAGTTTATTTCTTATTTATTTATTTTTTTTAGTTTCCTTCAACGTCCATTAAAAATATAAAGTGTATCGTTATATAAATTTGAGTAATTTTATTAGAAATTAAAAACAAGATTTTGATCACTTTTGTAGTAACGGTCTTATCGAAATAAGGAATAAAAATATAAAATTAGTGGGGCGTACATTTCTCTGCACCACACGCTTACAGGCCCAAGAGCAAGCAACCAGAATGCATGCCTGACTCCGCTCGCCAGTTTTCTTCTTTTTTTTTCGCGGGGGAAGAGGCTCTTTTCCTCCCGCGAGTGATTAGCCGTACCCCTCGCGTTTGTTGTCACATCCTCGCACATGTGTTTCTAGGAATTCGGCATCTAGCCGTTGCTACCCGAAATTTACGTTCCGTTCGAAGAAACAAAAGTTCACGTCTCGCTCCTATCTCTAAAATCACTACACTTGGGTATTTCTAGTATATTAAATTTGTATTACTACCCCGTATTATTCAAACCAAATAATTATAGCAGCCTTTTTGTTGATCACGTCCTTTGCTTCCCGTGAAGTTAAATGCAAAATAAAGTAATAAATTGTTCATCTTCCAAAGCAAAATAAAGTAATAAATTATTCATCTTCCAAAGCAAAATAAAGTAATAAATTGTTCATCTTCCAAAGTGTCTCATTGCGTTTAGGCAGTAATGATGATTCTGAGCTCTCGTAAAGATAAAAATACGAATGACAGAGGCATGCATGCACCTACACGTTTATCCGGATAGGATATATTTATAAAACATAGAGGGAAAGCGTTCCAGAAAAAAAAATAGCGAATAAACTCGTCTACTACTCGCCGTTAACCCAGTTCGCCGAGTTCATCGACACGAACTTCGATAGATTATCAACGTCGTGTGTGCTTCTTCTCACGGTGCTCCGCCGTCGAGATAGACAGACAGCGGCGAAGACGCAGCCGTATTAAGGAATCGATAAGGAATTTCAGCATGTTTGAAACGTCGAGATCCGCCGGCCGTTTATCGCGTGTAATACCCGACGACTTTCTGCTTCAAGAACCCGGTAAATATTAAAGCGCTCCGTGGAACCGTGCGTTTTCAAAGCGACGTTTTCTACTTGATCCGTGTCTGGACTGAAAAAATCTAAGACAAGACCTCCCAGCGCTCGATTAATATTTCACACGCGTTGCAAATATCACGTACCGAGTCACGTCTACGACGCGACAGCATTTCGTGACCCTGTCGGCCTCGTGCCAAGTGATATATTTTCCAGCAAGACGATATTTTATCATTGCTGCGATCACCTCGTCATTGACAATGCGATGACATTTAAGTCGCTGTGCCGAAGGGAGGAAGAAATAAGCATAACGTCCATTTTCATCCGTCCGTTGAAACTATCGTTGTCGTCGTCGTTGCCGTTATTTTCACGCGATTCAATCGATAGCTAAGTCTCAAGTACGATGAAATTTCCGGCAATAAAGCATCCACGCGCTAAATAAGAGCGCTAAATAAGGCATGCGACCAAAAGCGCTCATGGTGGTAATAATATTCGATGACGCAACATTTGACATTTGTTGTCGCTCTCTTCGGAGGATATTAAAACCGAAATATCGCGGCACCGAGAGGTTCACTGTTATAGCCGCATATACTGTCAAGCCGAGCACGGTCGTCGTCCATCTATGCACGACCATTGTTAGCGCGGAGCCGCTGTAGACTCTATCGACACAATTTTGATTACATGCTCCACAATGCTTGCGGTTTCTTCGACGTTACCTTGGCGTGGGGACACATGGCCGACGTGTACGTCATTGCCGCAACGAACGAAGGCTTCAGTCAGGATTTCACGGATGCTGGAGACAATGAGAGGCGACGTTATGAGACCGGGTAAACATTTATCCTACGTACGATGTGGTCCGTAGGTACTTCATTGCCCGAAACTGGTTGCGCGCTATAATGCACGTCTGCCTCCTAGCGCTTGCTACTACTAACAGCTTCGGCGAGCGCAAATGTTTGTCGAGCGTGTTGTGCTTTATGAACACAGATTTCACCGGCAACCTGTTTTAAGGTATTCGTCCCGCCATGCGCATTATGTATATATGTTAGGGCTATAATTTGAAAGTTGAAAAGTTTGGACAGACTTCTAGAGAAAGGTATACTGGGGATGTTGTTTATAAACATATATCTTTTCAAAAATACGTCAATATAAGTAAGGTGTTCGTTTACATAATATTTAATAACACACATATTGTATTTGATAATTTGATGATTTGAATATTTTTAATATTAGCTAGGACACTGACGGTAAAAGCTGGACTGACCAGCTGAGGAGACCTGGGCGTTTGACCACCACCCTGCTGGTGAGTGAGAGTGTGGCCGCTTACACGAGTATATGTGTGTGTGTGTGTGTGTGTGTGTGTGTGTGTGTGTGTGTGTGTACGTGTGCGCGACGTGCGATCGCTACCATTTTAAACGGAATGCATTCCTGACGGTAATCCGAAATTATGTTAATTAAAAGAGATTATCGCTCCATTTTGTAACCGTGAGTTGCAGACGCTCCGGACGCGATACAATCGCCCATCTGGATCTCTGGTAATGTCGGTGTCGATTTCCCCCTTGCCTCGCATCGATGCGGAATGACTTATAACTTATCGGTCGCGCGGTGCGCGCCATAAGCGAAATAACGGAGTGCTGTTTATGGGTGCCAATGGGTCCGCTAAACGCGTTATCGCGCGATCTCTCTCTCTCTCTCTCTCTCTCTCTCTCTCTCGATCTCTGTTATATGCGCGTTAATGTTATCGTACCAGGCTATTGATTTTTCAGCGTGGCTGACCTGAATCTTGTCATCGAAACGCGCTCATATCCAACGCGCAGTCCGCGCTCGAAAACGACACAACTCGGCCGAGATACGCGTACAAGCGTCACTTTGACACAAATGAAGATAGATGCGTGGACGGTTTATCTTACACCTCGGCCCGCTTGTAATGCACTCTCCATGCTCTCGAGAGCACATGGTCGATTGGAAAGAGTGGCTGATACAATTTTTGCGGAATGTGAAAATCCACAAGCTTATCCCACATGGCCTGCAGCTTCTTACGAGACGTTTCAATAAAAGGGCAGCTTTCATTGTTCATAGTCATGGTATTTCGTCCATCCTCTTCGAATGGTAGCGAAGACAAAAATCGAACGTATCTGTGGCACAGCACAGTGTTGCGCATGAGATGATTAAAAAGTTAGCTAGACAAAGAGAGATAAGATGAATGATTTAATTCCTTTTACCCTTTTGTCCCGATTGTAGACACGTTCCAATGCAATCTCAATCTCAATGTTGTCTGATGCAGGCAACATTAACGTAAATGTCCAAACATGTCCATAAAAAATATGTAAAAACAAATATTTCAATATTTGACACATTTGCAGTAATGTACGTAGGCAGTCTAAAAAGTTTTCGGCCTAACAATGAAAGAAAATTTTTTTTGCCGCGAAATATGTTTTATTTTTCAATATAATTTCCTGAAACTTCAATACATTTATTCCAACGTTTTTCCGATAATTCAATACCATTATTAAAGTGTGATTCCGGAAGGTCTGCAAAATATCCATCCACAGCTTCCACACAATAGCTTCGTCATTTGATGTAAAACGCTTTCCAGCCAGGAATTTTTTCAGGTTTGGAAACAGATAATAGTCAGAGGGAGCCAAAACTGGTGAATACCCTGGATGTTCAAGCAATTCGTACTTTAATTCGTTGAATTTTGCCATTGCCAAACATTTGTGTGAACACGTGCATTGTCTTGATGGAAAACGATTCTTTTCTTCTTTAAAGCAGGTCTTTTCTCACGAATTTTTGCATCCAATAGATCCAAAAGGTTACAATAATACTCAGAGTTAATCGTTTTATCTTTCTGAAGATAATCGATCAACAAAACACCTTTGTAATCCCCAAAAACTGTTGCCATAACCTTTCCTGCTGATGGAACCGTCTTTGCCTTCTTTGGTGCACGTCCACCGGCTTCAATCCATTGTTTCGACTGTTCTTTTCGCTCTGGTGTATAGTGGTGGATCCAAGTTGCATCAACAGTTATGAAACGACGCTTGAAATTCATTTTATTTTGCTTGAAACGATCCAAACACGCTTGAGAAATATGCATTCGAATGCGTTTTTGGTCAATTGTTAACAAATGCGGCACCCATCTTGCACAAAGCTTTTTCATATGTAATTCTTCATGCAAAATATTTCCAATTCGTTCTTTCGAGATGCCTATGGCCTCAGCTATTTCACGCATTTTCACTCGCCGATCATCTAACACCATATCATAGACTTGTTGAATGTTTTGTGGTGTTGTAGCAGTTTTTGGACAAACTTCGCGTGGATCATCTTCGAGGCTTGTATGAGCAGATTTAAAAAGAGCAGCCTATTTTTTCACAGTGGAAAGTGAAGGTGATGCATCCTTATACACTTTTAAGAATTTCGGATGAATTTCTGTTGGTGTTAAACCATCCAAAACAAAGAATTTAATCACTGCACGATATTCAATTTTTTCCATTTTAAAATAGACAATGACACGTCAATATAAAACTGGTGCTACTACTCGAATGACTTGACAGATTGAAATAAAATTTTACATGGGTTTATATCTGGGATGCCACTTTCCAATACAATTATAGTTTGACAGTTTCTATCCAATGCCATCTAAGGCCGAGAATTTTTCAGACTCTCCTCGTAGACTAAATTATCTGCGAACGTCGTCTTAGATAATCTTATAAAGACAACACCCTTTTCAATTTGAGATGCAGATGAAAATAATATATATTTATATAATCTACAAGAGAGAGTGAGAGTGAGAGAGAATGAGAGAAAGGGATAAAGATTAGTTCCGGAACTCTATATAGATAGCCGACCATTTATGCAATTTTATCTGGATAAGAGCACAGTGTCATCCTTTTCAGATGTAGTTTTGCGCGGCGCCTGGTCCATGCGTAGAAGTCTAACCGTGCAAACGCACGGTCCGAGCGGTCGAGATTTTCGGGATGATAAATTTTATCGAGATGGTCGAGCTCTGCGCATAACTCGTTCTCGTCAACAAGCGTGACTAGCGCGGATGCGACGAGCGAATCGCGATCTTACTTGTCGATTTAAACGCGCTCGTAGAACTCCATTAAACGACGGCGCGAATGTCGATCTACCGGGTTTTCATCTGCCGCGTGTCGGCCGAGATACGCTGGAACGACAAGTGGAACGACACGCCGCTGTTGGAGCGCCCGCGTCATTCGTCGCTTTTAATGCCGTGCTTGTTCGCCGGCGTGAAGGCCCGATTTTATCGGCAGCGAGCTGCGAATGCACCTGCCCCCGATATGCATCTCGTCGGTACAATTCATTTACTACATAGGGAGGGTCCACGGTACGCGCGACACACAAATGTGAACGACGTATATTCCGGAAGTCAGTCGGGAAACAACGTTGTTACATTAGAGACCTGGTCGCACCGTCGTAGCGTTAATTAAAGTAAGAGATTAATCCGTTCTCTGCTTGGAGAGAAAGAAGTAAGTAAATTTCCCCTTTGTTCTTTGGAGGACCTCCAAGAAACAGCGGAATCCGCCCTGAAATATCGATCCCAATAGACAATCAGTACCGCCCGAGCAAAATATTCAAGTGGAACGTACCAAAATCGATCCAAGTGAGTGCCGATGAAGAACGTTAAAGTCACAGAGTGTCTGGCGATAACATGTCAATCTGCGCGTACGCGTGTGTAAAATTGAACAAAAATTTCTTCTCTCGTATTTCGTGAACAATCACGCAAAATGTTGAGTTGTTAATTAATGAAGATTGCCGAATGTTCACGCGCGATCACTGCAGGAGAGCTGTGATTTCGCAAATAATCACATGGGTCTTTAATTTTATCTACATCGTTCATCTATAGAATTATATTATTACATAATTTTCGAGAGATTAGGCCGTTTCATTTAAAGTGGATCACCTATGTATGTATTCGCTGGAAATATCGGGCGTTTTAAATAAATCGCCGATGAATCATTCCGCGCTCACGCGAATTAAGAGAAACCTGAGTCGCTGGTTCTTACACGTTGCGTGTATCGCAATAAGCATAATAAGATTTCCCTCTCAGGTGTGTGCGACAGAGTTTGAAAATACATATTTATAGGACTTCTCTTATTCCAACTAGTTTCTGGCATACGCCCGTCGACGTTCACGGATTAGTTCCGGGATCGCCGTGTACACGCGACGGCGACGGGTATGGAGCTCGTAACGGATTTGCCGTACGGGGAGAGCCCACTTTCCTCTTCCACTGGAGATGGATATGGGAATGGTTGTAGGAGGACGCGCAGGAGGTGGAGAAAAGGAATGAGAATCTCGGGGTAATGGCGGCATAGAAATCAGTGGCAGAAATGGCTCGGCTTATTTCTCTGGAGGATATACGCCGCCGATATATGCTGTCAGAGTGGAGGAGAGGAGAGGAGAACGAGAGACTGTGCTGGAGCGAAGGGTGTTCGAGCGAGGGCGACGGAGAGACAAGGAAGGCGTTGCCTGCTGCCGAAAACAAATTGGGAGGCTTTAAAAATTTCGCAGCCTCGGCCTCACTCCGTCGCTGTTTCCCCTTTTTTCTTTTCCTCTCTTTCTTTTTCCGCCATTTATTTCTCTCTCTTTCTCCCCCCCCCTCTCTCTCTTTCTCTCTCTTTCGCTTTCTCTCTTTCTCGCATTCTCTCTCTCTCTCTCTCTCTCTCTCTCTCTCTCGCGAGCCGTCTTTATCGCTCGATAACCGACACTTCGCTCTTTTTCTCCCCTTATCCCTTCCGCTCTTCTCGCCGTACGTTCGCCGTTATCTCGTTTGTTTCGTAATAATGCCGTTCCGGCAATTAGTCGCACGGCC